AGTAAGTAACAACTACTTCAAGATTTATCTTAGTCAGTTTTTCTTAAACTTTCAACTTTACTTAATGGAAACTCGTAACAGTCTAAGCTTTCTACGTATTCTTTTCCACATACAGTAACTGCTTTGCTTCAGTACTGCCTACTGAAGTGAGATACTCTCTTGAATAGTAAAAATGTTTCACAAAATTTGCTTTCGCTTCACATTTCAGTGTCTAATCAAGAGGAACCTCTATAAAGTACTAGCACTTACTGTGCCACCTGAGAGTATTTAACCCACAGTACAAATCTTGCAGTGCCTGTATACTTGTGTCATTTATATTACATCAGTTAGAACACATTAACTGTAAGGTCAAGTGACAGAGTACAGTGCTCACCAGACCTTATTTCTCTTGTGCCAAAGACAGGACAACCAAGCCTGTGGCTTACTGACAAGAGTAACAAAATTGCTTCACAGAAGCTGCAGCCTGTGAGGGCTGCACAATGGAAAAATATTTTAGGTTAAAATCCTACTAAGCTAGAAGTCAAGAATGCTGTAGAGATAGCTTTAAGAATGGAAGGGATATGGAGGAAGAAAGAAAATGCTACACAGAAAGATTTCAAGTAATGAAAAGAACAAATGGCAATGGGACACATTTCTGAAAAGGCAGTGTCTAAGTCTAGTGCATATTAAAAGCTCTGAAAAGTTTACGTCATGACTTCCTGTTTGAATCTGTGACAATGCTCAAAATTTCAGGTTTTCACACTAGTTTCCGCCTTCAACAATAAAGCCATAAGGCATAAGCATCTACTAACTTTGTGCCTAATAAAGCAACTGCAGCCCATAAGGAGGAAAGGAAATGCAGCACTAATCTGACACTGAATATACACAGCTTCTCACAGGATTAGCCATTGGCTAACTAGAAATACTGCAGTCTGAGTGTCCTTTCATTATGCACCAGCTGTTCTTCAAATGTTGATAGGTTGTGTAACAGATTAAAGGATAGCTGTCAGTAGCTTCCTAGGGAATTAACATAAAAATGACTGACATTTACTAAAGTTAAAAATTGCAAGTTAATAATTGATTTACATGCATGTGAACTCTGAGTGAAGTTATGGCTGCACTAAGAAATTTAAGAATTAATTCAGCATTTTACATAGTATGTAAATTATGTTAAATATTTTGATTCTAACCCATATTTGGTTACTCAAGTTAGTGCAGAGAAAGAGCTGCATGTGAGTAGATCTTGAGATGGTGTGCATAGAGCAGAAGGCTACAACACAAGCCTTGTTACAATGTTCTCGGAACTCCAGCTTTTGTGTTTGCTCTCTTGAAGTGTTCATCAAATATGAGTTTAAAACCTACTGTGAAGTAGTCAATATACAATTCAGCTTATCATACTACAGAAATCCACTGGTTACATATAAGAGGAATCAGGCAGGTATCTGGTTAGAACAAACCAAAAATCCAATATAGTAATTCCATTTATAGTTATTTTCTTATTTGAAAGGTAAGAAAAAAGGCACCATCTTTTTCTATGTTATTTACCTTGTACATTTAATAGCAATGTGCCTAATTGGTTCAGTTTTGGATGCCATACACCAGTTTCCAGTATGTGCAGTTTTACTCAGTAACAGGAACACAACAACTTGAATTTACTATGAGTAAGTCTTCTTATAAAATGATTTGAGGACTGACTGTAGCATTATTCCCAAATGAGTAATAAAAGCAGCTGAAAATTATCCTTTAGGCTACAAGCTGCACTATATTTAAGATGCATGCAAAATTCTGAGCTCAGAAAAGGAAGACCAAAATTAATGAGTGGACTCAGATTACAAAGGGCAATCAGTTGGAAGTTTGTAAAAGTATAAACAAAACTTTTTAAAAATAAAAGTAATCATCTTAAATTATATGGAGAGTTCCAATACGTAACTGATTCAGGTTACCACACTGGATAGCGTGAGAGAAGTATCTGAAATCTGAGTGTCAAACTTTCCTCCACTACAAAGTCAAGAGGTGTCACAGCAGCAGCCTGTTGCATCTGTGCTGCAGTAACTGCGCACACACCACCTTTTAGTGGACAGGACTCAGCTTTAGATCCTGGGCAGCAATAGCGACCTCTTTTCGCTGTTCTCTGGTGTTCCTTATTGGTATTCCTCACTGGTGTTCTAGGCTTGTCCTGACCCTGGCTACTAGTCTAGCTTGCAAACACTGATGGAACAGTAGATCTTTCCCTGGAACTCTGCAATTAGGATGGATTCTGCTATTGCTTGATCGTGGTACCATCACCATCTGACAGACAGATCATATCACAGGGTAGAATTAAAGTATCTGTGAGGTTCCACTCACACAGTAACACATGCATTCAGGGTGCTGGCCAAAACATGAAAGAGAAGGACAGAATATGGACTTAGTTTGCAGTTACTTATATGCAATATAGGATCTGTTCATTATTTTGTTCCATCCTTCAGATGGAGAACCTGCAATTCTTCTGATGTATACTTCTGTAAAAATGCAGTACTGGAAAGAAAAAGAGTTCAGTAAGTGGAATCAAGATTGATGGCCATACCAAGACATTTAATCTTGTTTCACACATACTCATCCCACCTCTAACTTAAACTATAACTTCTGCATTAATTTATGTCCAGTTTAAAGTTCCACAATTACAGTCTATTAGATGGTAACCAAGCAGTCATCAAGAACTCTGTTCCTTTTACATATTAACCAGTTGGAGGTTGTGGTCAGCATGTCACATACACCATCACCCTATCTTCAGGAAGATGAATTTGCAAATTTGTAACGTTTGTTTTAGCTTTTGCAGAAGTAGAATCAAAAAGCAGCTAGCCAAAAGGCAAAGAGCATGGTCATTAATGAATCTATACATGAAAGCACTTCAGTGCAGATGTAAAAAAAAAAAGTGGCTTTATTTAATTGGTATTGACTAAAGTATACTAATCCTAACATTTAGCAGTTAAGGGCAAACACTTTTGCCTCTTCCTCTTGCCTTTTTTTTTTTTCAGATTTTGCTGTTTTAAGAAATACTGCAAGTGAAGTTCTTTACTCGGCAGCTATATTAATCCAATACTTTATTATTATTTATTAGCACCAACTTACCTATAAATACTACATACCTTTCAGACTTAACCTTATATTAGCTTAAAATTAGCCCAGTGGGTTATGCTCAAAATAAAGGACTGTGCATGAAGTATTGCTTTCCCTCCAAAGTTATTTAAAAACTAGACAAATAGACATGTAACAGTAAGGGAAAAAAGTCATTAGTAAACAAGGACTTCCACACTTTAAGAAACTCTGTCTAAGGAAGCATTCAGAAATGCTGCCAAGGTAGAAGTTGTCTACTACACACAGAGTTTCCCCCTACAGTTTCTATCTATCCTAGAACAAGATACTTTGTTCTTATAGCATTTACCTAGCTTGGAAATCAAAAGTAAAGCCACAAAGCACACATCTGGAAGAAGAGTGCTCTTCTACATGGAATTACTCAAACTCTGCTTTGTTGAAATTCATATTCTCCCTAGCTGATATTTTCTTTCAATCAAATTGAAATGGTAATAAAGATTTGTCTAGACTTAACTGTTTAGGAATCACTGGTATTACTCAGAATTATCATTGTGCGTAATTGTGAGCTAACGAACCACATCATCTTTCCAACCTGTTCACACTAACTCAGACACATTAAACACATACACAGTTGTATGCCTTCATGACAACTGAGTTGCTCAGCCAGGCATATGACAGATGATTGTCTAGAGAAAGTTATGCCACAGCTTTCCAGCAGTAATTCTACTTTTCTTCCACAGCAGTTTCTTACCTTTTAAACCTACACTGAACAGAGGGAAGAGTCAGTACAGTACTTTATTCATAATGCAAAATTTCTGGCTTTCTGGGAATTCTACAAGCAACTTACTTTCTCATAGGGAACAAAGCAAGCTAGTTACAGTCCTTTAACAGAAAAAGCCAAGTTATTGATTTTTAAATTTGTTTCCAAGTGAGCTTAATGACTGGTAAAGGTGCTGGCTGATAGCTCTAGACACTATCCTCAACCTATAGCACAGACAGCATTCCAAGATCCACCACTATTATAACTCTCAAGGGATTGGTCCTAAAAGGTTGAATCCACTGAACACTACCTACACTTAAACACATACATCATTTCTTTATTTAACAAAAGCAAAAAGGCAACAAATAATTAGGTTATATTGCTCTATGATACTACGGTTTTAAGCAACAATATCAAAGCTGTATATTAGAAGGTGTATCGAAACAGAAGCAGACTACAATAGAAAGATGACTAGGCATTTTGCATACAGAGTAGTATTAGGTAAATACATTTCTTCACAACGCAAGATGAACTGAAATGAGCCAGTGAGCACAATAGTTACATAAGCCATTTTGGTTTCAGGACCTTCTGATCTTTTTAACTAAGAGAAAGTTACTACAACTATTAGAGCAAGGAAGTTTGAAAACAGAAATTTCATAGGTTGAAGGTTTTGGCAGTTTAAAACTTAAAAATCTGTTAAACTGATATTAAGCAAGCATCCTTTTTCTTTTTAAGCAATCTCAGTATACAGCAAGAACAAAAAAAATCTGCACATGGACTCTTCTACTTGCACAAACGCAGTTTAGTTTCTAACTAAATTAGCCTTAAATGTTGTAGCAAATAAAGACATAGAGGGGCTTATTTTCATGCACACAGCTCCAAATGTAGTAAATGCAACACAGTGAAATATGATCAACTCATGAAATTAAGGAAAAAAACAAGATGGAACAATAAATGCTGATCTCCTTTAATGTCAAATCATGTAACAAGCAATTTTTTGTTCTCTTACCTCCCAGGCTGAGGGCAAGACTCAAGTATAAGTTTTATTGCATTCATTTAAAATAATGTATGTTGGCAAAATCAAGTACTGAAGCTGTAATAACTATTAGATAAACAAAACCTGCTACAAATGAAAGACAGGACAAAAGGTGCATATGATCAGAGACAGTAGTATTTTATCACTTACCTCATGATGCAGCTCAGCTATCTGATCTTTCAGTTCTCTGATATACTGGTTAGAATCAGATTTATTAAGCTGCCCTTGAATTTTTCCTTCTTCTTTCTGTTTTGGTTAAAAAAAGAATCTTATTCAAATTATTCACAGATATACTATATTAAAAGAATCTTATTTTAACTGCATATTTTTGTCATTAGCAGAAGCTATTCAGACACCATCCAGCACTTTTCATCTGGTTGAAGTTACAGTAGGTATCTAGGGGTATCAGTAGCTCAGACCCAAGTGGACCCTTTCAATACTAACCATACTACAGGCAGGATTCTATGGAGGAGCATGAAGAATTAACAAAACTTCATGGTAGAATGCACATCCAATGTACATGAGGTTGCACATGCAATTTAGTAAAGCATCCCTACAGAATATTATCTATGGAACATATCTCAGTGCACATTATTTTCACTCATGTAAAATTTTCCTTTAGTAACAAGGAATTTCCCTTTGTTTCCAAGTGACAAGTAAACAAAACATGTTCTTCCCTTGCATTTTAGGACATGCACTGGGAAACACTACATGACAAGATTTCTTCTTACCTAAAAAAGTTGTAACATATAAAATATTGTGGTATTTATCATATGGGAGTTCCAGAGAGCATAAGTGAAGAAAAATATATCCCCTAACACCAGTGCTGCGAGAGGTACAGACAAAAATTGGCAATTAAAAAAAGCCAGGAGTAAAGAAGAATGCAAGATTCCCCTCATTTGTCAACTAAATGCAGCTCCTCAGTTTCAAGATGCTCAAGAAGGTGTCATCCACACTTGAACACCTGCAACACTAACTTTCAGCTAGTGTCTAAATGGAATCCTAATATGACTGGACCAAACTTGGCATATCTGAGATAAATAACCACCCTTGATGGAGAAGGCAGCCCATATCTTCAGTTTGCTACAAGTCAAGAGCAGCATTGGCTGTGTTTTTCCCAGCTGAGTAATTTCTGAAGCAGACACCTTTAGAGGACAGAAGAACCTTGATTTTATATAAATCTTATATAACTTTTAGAATGAAAGGTGTTAACTGTTCCTCAGAATACAAGACTAAAAGCTTTAATGGAAAGGCTTAAAACATCCCTCTGAAATATCAACACCAGGACAGAACGTATACCAGGACATGAGGAGGAGGGACAACATATCCCCTTCCAAACCTTTGTGCTGCATGAAGAAAACAATCACAAGCAATGTCAGCATTGGCAAGCAATTTCTCTAATTTCAGTCTTTGTATTTTTTGCAGCAAGGTTTACAATATTACTCAAAAAATAAAATTACAATATTACTCAAAAAATAAAACTTTATCATATTCACTATCAATTCACAGAATCTGGACACGGAGGCATAAGATCCTTTAACGCATAATTCTGTACTGAACCTAGTTACCAAGGCAACTTATGGCTCAAATTCACAAAAAAATTATTAATATTAAAAACATTACTAATTGTTCCTGTCCTAAATAGGTTAAAAATATCCCCAAACACCCATCTCTTCATGAGGATGACTATTGGTACTGGAGAAACCAAAACAGAAGCAACATAACCTACAGATTAAAAATAGTGCTGTTTACATCAGTATATAGAAAAAGCTTTGTTGCTGTCATAAACTAAGATTCCAGACAATGAGAATGACTTGATCTGTTGTGGTAGCAGGAATATACAGGAGAAATGCTTGTCCCAGTTCTTTCCCGCTGTTTCAAACGCTGGCTTTTCCATTTAAGCCTCTTGTTCTATGGACTCTAAATTACTATATAACCATACACTATAGTATCAAAAAGCATGAGTAAAGCAAGGTTTTACCATAGATAGAAGATAGGTGCCATAGCCCTTTTAAAATGAAAGCGTAATAAATGGCTGAGCTTACATTCAAGCTGGGTGCACAAGAAGACATGAAAGAGGCATTCCCAAATTAATTCAGTATAAACTAACAGCAGAGGCAATAATATTTACTAGCTTAAGTTTGGCACTGCACAAATAGCTGAAAGCTGTTAGTGTACACCATACAGAGTATACCATATTGGGAGTTATAAATTTTCATTATATTTAAGTGGTTTTATTGTTACTTTTTATTCCATAAATAATACTGTAAAGTTAATGCAGATTATCACAGAATAATTTGACATATGTATTTGCTCATGGAAGAACTGACTTTAGCTCCAATCAGTTGGAGCTGAATGCAGGGCATAAGCCTGGCTTGCAAGATCCTCGTTATTAGCGAAGGGCAAATAAGTTTCAGTTTTCCTTTCAGAACTACAGATTTTGTAGAGCTGACAATTCACAAAAATGCATTTAGCACAAAAAAGGAGCCCTGCAATGTCATTTCTTTGAAAAGTATGTTTGTAGAAAGAGTCATGCTGTAACTTCCTCTTGCAACATCCAAAACACTAGGGGTCAGAAGCTGATCCTTTTAACTGGCTGCAACAGAAATCAGGTATTTCCAGCTAACTAAACAAACCTATGTTCTAAGCTACAAAGTCTGTCTACAATGGGTAAATTGGAAGGATGACATAGGAGAAATTTTAGGTGGAGGTATCAGTCTTCTTCACAGCTGCTGTTCATCTCTAAGTAAGAGCAAAGATATATTCTACTTTTGTTTTTAATAAGCTAAGTTGATCATGTCATTAATTTAGTTATTTGAAAGACACTCATGCAGGTGCAGTAGCAAACCACTGGAAAACATGCAGGGGTCAGGCACTATAGCATTAAAATATTTTTTAATTCTCACCAAAATCATCTAATTTAGAGAATACATAAGTAGACAGCTGAAAGTTTACATATTTCTAAGGAACTAAAACATTTATTTTATAAAAAGTAGTTTTATCTGTCAGATTATGATCTTTAAGTTACCCAACATTCTTTAAAACTGTGAGAAAAGATTGATATTTTTCATCAATACATATATTTATTTTCATACATGTACAAAATATTACCATGATCCGCAAAATTTTCACTTTCCAGTCACATTTCATATTTGCATTAAGTTCAGATTACTTTCTAGTAATTTCCAGCTTCTGATGAGCATTTGTTAAGTCTAACGCAAATTTTAATGTGAGCAACTTAAATTTGGTAGTAATATTCTTTAACACTAGTTTTTCATTAGGACAGCTTGACAGAAGTCAAAAAGAAAAATTGTTGGCAGGAAAAACTTCAACATGGCAGTTCCTTTTAACATGACAGAAAGCAGTATTAACAGCTA